ATATATATTTGTTATATATATGTAAATAAATATATTATATATATTTGTATACACACATACGCATACACACACACATAGTATTGGTTCTGTTTCTCTGGAGAACCCTAATACAAAGTTAAAGGAACAAACACACAAACACATAATGGTGTAATGGGATCTTCATATACAGTGGTTCAATTGCAGAAATGAATTCTCTTCTCTTTAATTTTGAGGAAATGTAGAGAAAAGGAGAATAAATTCAGTGACAGATGTGAGAACCTTGTAAGGCATCAGAATGTGGTTATTGTCACTAAGTAACCTCCCACATCAATTCTTCTCCTAGTAATAGAATCCCACTTCCCGTCTTCACTTGCACCTATGTGTGGTCATGTGACTAAGCTCTGACCAATGGCATGTAGAATAGACTGAGTGTGTCCCTCACAAATTCATATATTGGAATCATACCCACCTTGAAATAAGGGTTTGGGGAGGTGATTGGGTCATGAGGGCAGAGCCCTCATAAATGAGCTTAGTGCCCTTGAAAGAGACCCCAGAGAACTCCCTTGCTCTGTCACGTGAGGATACAGAGAGAAGATTATGAAGCGGGGTCTCCCCGGCACTGAGTCTGCTGGCGCTTTGGCCCTGGACCTCCAGGTCACCAGAATGGGGGGAAATTAATTTCTTTTGTTGATAGCCAAACCAAGCTATAGAATTCTGTTATAGCAACCTAAATAAACTATGATAGGATGTAAATGAAAATGTGCAACTTCCAGCAAGTGCCCTAAAAAGAGGGGTCATGTGCTCTTTCCTTTCTTATTGTAAAAATGGTTGGAGCCATTATAGACCAAGAGCTGAAATTGGGAATGGCAGCTGTGGGTAAAATTGTAATATTTCCAGAATATCTCACCTGGCATAAGTGCATTTACATATCCTTAGGGGTGGAGAGAAGTTCATCTCTATATCAATGGGTAATTACCTGGGCAACTGAGGGCTTCTCTGTACCTGAGAGGTGAAGGGGAGGCCAGTTTTGCTTCTGCTGGAGCAGCAAAGAGAGAAGGCCCTGGACTGCAGTTTGTAAGCAATAAACAGATTTTAAACTTTATTTCTCCCTTTGACTGATTTTGGTTTTAGAGATATTTTGCCCTGGGATTTCCTCTCCCTGGACTGAGAGCAGCCTAGATCTTGGCACTGTTGTGCTCCAAACCAGGTCTGGATTATCTGCCTCTTGATTTTTATGAGGAGGACATTAACTTTTAATTAGTTTAAGCCACTATTATATTGGGTACTCTATTTCTTGCAGCAGAATGTAATCTCAGTTTACACAGTTATTAGGGATTTGGAGGTTGATGTTCATATTTTCCTCTCCAAGTGATGTACTTAATTCTGAATCTGGGATCCTGTCTTGAAGATCTGGGGCACACTGTTCTAGCAGATGGAACAGAAAGCAGTGCACAGTGGTGGTGAATTTCTAATCCTGTTATTTAAGTTTCTTTCCTTACCCTGTAAGACCAAAGTAACCAATACGAAATTGGTGGTCATTATTTGACTTCCTATTTTTGAATAGAAATGTTTCCTTTTAAATTGTATCTGTCCCCCACCCCATTTCAGATTACAAAGTGTCTCAAGTTACTTGAGATTTTATATTTTCTGTTGACTTTGGAAGGAATAATAATGGTATACTTGGATTCATTTAGAATTGAATTTAAATTCACTCTGCCTAACAATTTGCTTTGGGACCATTCTTTTCTTTTCTTTTTTTTTTAAATCTTTGCCCCAAACATCCATGAGCCTGGTAACCAGCCAATAAAGCCTGGTTGTAGATGCCCCAAAGCTGCTTGAGCAAATTGCTTCAGACTCTACTCGTTTCTGGCGGACGTTGACTCTGGGTGGCTGACCTCAAGTGTGACGGCTGTAACTTCGACTTTGTTACTGCTACTGGCGCTTTGGATTGGGTGTTCATAATTAGTTTTCATGCTGTCTTATTTCACCCTAAATGAAATTTGGCTTGTTTTTACTTTCTACCATTCTGAATTGGCATGACGCAAGTTTTCCCTCAGTGTCCTGGTTATTGGTGGGGCAGGATCAGCCAGCCTGAAAACTGGGGAGAGAGTTGGAAATACGGGGAAGGTTGGCCATTTTGTCACAAGCCTCAGTTTTGTCTTTCAAAGGACTCATAGCCTTTGTTGTATGGCGGGGACAGTGAAAGACTTTAAGCAGGGGAGTGCACGGATCAGACCTGCGTCTTGGAGTGTGACTTTGGCGGCCGTCTGAAGAATGGAAGTGAGGAAGTGGTTTTTGAATAGTCATGGTTGTATGGTGATAATAACAGTCTGGATGAGAGATAATAAAAGTCTAAATTTAAGCTGTTAGCAGTGATAATGGTCAGAAGAGAGATTTAAAGAACTGTTTGGGGCACAGAGATTAAAGGATGTAGAGATCAGATGTACTATAAAGGGGAAATAAAAAAAACCTAGAATGACGCTTGTTTGGCTTGAGAAACCACTATGAGATGGTCTGTTCTCTGCATGGACGCAGAGAGGAAGAAGAGGTGATGGAGTAGGAAGACAGTACACTGAGGCCGGCACACGCTCAGCTGGAGGGCCTCTGAGCCATCTAGACGGGTGTGCCCCAAAGGCATGAACACACAGATCAGCAGGTCAAAGAGAAATATGGGTCATAGAAATGGAAACAGAAATCACCAGCAACTGAGGCCAGGGAAAGGAGTAAAACTGCTGAGGGAGAACACAGGCCAAGAAGAGATGAGCTCTCGGTCAAGAATAAAATCACGGAGAATACCAAGTCAGGAGGTAAAAGAAGAGAATCCTGAAAAAAAGTGTGAGAGAGTGGTGAGAAAGGATGGAAACATTATGAGAGAAAGAGAACTATGTTGGAAGCTGCTTTCATTGCAGGAAGAGCGTCTGCAGCTGTAGCAGACACAATGCTCTGTGTTCAGTAATCTGTGCACTTCCCCCTCCTGGGTGCCAGGAAGACTGTATTCCAGCCCCCAACTGCATCGAAGTGGGACCATGGGACCAAAAACTGGCTGATGGAAAGGGGGTGGAGGCGGAAGTACTGTGGCCTATGTGCAAGCTAGGCCCCTAAAACACTGGGTGATCAGTGTGCAGCCTCTCTCTGTCCCATCCATGTGACCGGATGGGAAATCATACAAGAGAGCTTCCTGATTAGAACTATCTACACTGGACTTCCCTTGATTGAGAAACAGACCTTTGTTGTGTTAAGCTACTGAGATGTGAGGTTATTTATCATTGTAGTGAACATACCTTAATTGATATAACAATTTAGAAAATATTTTAAAATGCGGATCTGTCATTTTAAGTAGTACTTTTGGTATTGCTGGTACACTTTAAAAACACAGCCATCCTAACAATATGCATTTCAAGATACTTTATTTGCTGACTCATGAAGCAAGGGTGTAATGTTCAGGGTGATTGGAATGGGATCAAATCTTAAATTTATGTTTAAAACAAACTAATAATAGATGGAGGAACAAAAGGTTAGTACACGCATATACTGAGTGACCGTGTCCTGATTATGTTGCGGCCTGTCAAGGACACTAGCAATCTTTTTCTCAATCGACCACTTGGGGCCATCAAACCCCTCGTGGCAAGGGCTCATGACATTTGCATGGGATTCTCTTGAATGGGAATGCCTAAACAATGGTTTACTACCACAAGGGAGACTTCCTGGTGCCAGGATTATGAACCAAATATATAGCATATATACCTGAGTGGAGAAAGTAACAAGGACACAGAAGGACCCTCTTCCAAGCCAAGGCCTCAAAGGTAGCCTGAGGAATTAGGAGCTCCTAGGAGTTGGTGGTGGTGGTGGAGGGGAGTGTTGTTCAAGAAAATAGACTCAGCCACAGAAAGGAATATAGGCAAGAAGATCCATAATTTGGGAATTATAATCCAAAATATAAATTGGGTACATACTAATATAAATGATTAAATGAATAAATGAAGGAGAAGAGAGAGATCTCCCACTAAAAGAATTCCAAATAATTTATGTAGATACTGTCCCTTCAAGGACATGGAATAGAACTCTCTACCCCCTTACATGTGGACTATGGAAAGAAGGAAAATAGTGGAGAACCCTGGCAAACACTGCCTCAGCCAAGTGGTCAAAGTCAATGTCATCAGTAGTTTGCCGTCTTGACAGCATGTACCCTTGATATGATGTGGTAAGACTGACTTCACCTCTGTGATTTCCTCCCCAAATCCTTAACCTCAGTGACACCATGAGAGAAACATCAGACAACACTGAAGTGAGAGGCCTTCTATAAAACTGTCAAGGTCACGAAAAACAAGGAATGTTGCAAAAAACATCACAGCCAAGGGGAGCTTAAGGAGATGTGAGGGCTAATACAGTGTATCCTGCATGGGATCCTGGAAGAGGTGAAGCCCATCAGAGAAAAACGAGTGACATTTTAATTGAAGTATAGTTTAGTTGATAATCATGTATTGGTATTGGCTCATTAGCTCTCAACATATCAAAGCCATCTAAGATGTTAACAGGGGAAACTGGGTGTAGGATACATGCAAATACTCTGTACTACTTTTGCAACTGTTCTATAACTCTGAGAGTATTCTGACATTTAAAAGTTTTTTAAAGGAATTTAGAAATAAGTCATTTACTTTTTTCTTGAAGAAGAAATCTAAGCATACAGTTCACAGCAAAATGGACCACTATCCCCTGTCCGTTTTTCTGTAATTCTCCAGTTCTCTAAAACTTGCTAGTGCATTCTCTGTCCTCAGATCCGCACTGGTCCCTCATCTCTGTCCTTCAGCTTGGCCACCTTCTTGCTTATGCCCCATCCCAAGTTCCGTCTTCCTCACTACAAAATGTTCCCCACCAGACAGAGCTTAATGGAAATTTAGTTTGTCCTCTGTTGCTACTGTTTTTCTTGGGGAAATCAGGTGACCAGGCTCTTGTCCTTTGCACCCCTTCTCATCTTTGTTTCCATTCTGGCAGAGGGCTACAGTGAGCTGGGGACACACTGATCATTCTCATGCACAGATGACATTAAGCAATTGGCAAATAAGGGGAAACAAGCAAGTCTCTTTAATTTAGGAAAGCTACTGCTAAATTAGTGACAGAGGACGTACAGGTAGGCCTTTACCACACTCTTTGTATTTACTCTCAAATATCATATATTAATTAGAATCACTGATTATGAAATTTGAAGGGAATTCAATAAATATCTGTTCTATATTCTCAAGTTACCCATTAGGAGAGGGTCAGATGGCTTCACTGACCAGACCAACATAATGCAGTTAAGGACTAGAAGATCCCTAACTATTCTTCTCCTCCTCGTCTTTCATGTTCTTTCAAGTTCACAATGTAGGAGAGCTACAAGCTTTGATATGGTAATTCTTCTTGGCAAGCAGAAAACATGGAAAGGAATAAAATAGCAAATGAATACACCAGAAGGATCAGACTGACTCAATGCTATGTTATATTCCCTTTGATTTAAAGTCATATCTAGAGCTTGGTGTCCAATAAGAGATCATGAATGAGCAGCGTGACAACCTGCTTGATCATCCAGTGGCCACTGCCTTACATCTCAGGGTCTCCAGACTGTGGGACTTCTCAGCCGCTTCTCTCAAGGACATTCCTCATTAAATAACCTGCAACAATTGTTTTCATTTAAACCTGCGAGAGCCTCAAAAGCTAACATCTTGTTTGGGTTACTCCTGGCTTTTTCACTTCATTCATTCATTTGTCTCTACAGTTACCAGACCAGGTGCTAGAAATACAAACATGAATAGGTATCAGCTCTAAAGTCAAGGTGCATACTGCCTACAAATTTAAGTGTTGGTGAAAAGAGCAGGACAATGTTTCATGTAAAATCTTTACACAATTTCTAATTTACTGTACTCACCGAATATTGAATATTATTTTATGACCTATTAGGTAAAGACTCGAATGGTGTCTATAGTAAAAACACATGAAGAATTCTGACAAACTGAAGAATCTGAGAAAACTGTAACTTGTGCATTGTTATTTAAATCTGAAGTGTAAATGTGTATACACACAGATGTACATACCATATTTTAATTTCTATACATCAATCAACAAAATTCAGTATTGGAATGATATTGAAACATTATCCTACCAATATTTATTTTAGACAGTAAAAATAAAATGGTGTAAGTTATCAAGTCCTCTGCTTCTCTAGGTCTCAGTGACTTCTGGATTATCCAGTAATGATTTCCATACTTTGTATGTCCTTTATGCAATCATAGGATACCAGAGCTCTTTCAAGAGTTAAATCAAGTCCAGATACTTTAGCCTCTATTTACAACAGAAATCAAGAAATATTTCCTCACTCAGTTGCACATATGGTAAAGAATTGAAAACATAACCAGGTTGTAGAAGGAGTTACTAAAGAATGTGCTAACTTAATGTACACAACACAAAACATACCTGCAATGCTTTGGCACAGATACCCTCTCAATACTCATTTCTTAACTACGTATTGACTTTTAACTGCAAAGTCCAGTGTCATTGCAGAAGTTATAAATAATAGCTCTGTTTGGCACAGTCTCTGAGATGAAAGAATTTATTGTCCCACAAAAGAAGAAATACATCCAAATTATATTCCATAATTCCCACAACTAATCAGTCTGTTCCACAGTCACGCTCTGTTCACAGTTGCTTTTGAAAATTACAATTTCTCACCTCGTCTTTGGTGCCAATCTATTCAGTCCAGGTAGAGTGAAAACAAATTCATTTATTGTCAGTTACTGTTCAAAGAAAGAGGCAGAAAAATTGCTGCAGAAAAGTCCCAAGCTAACTGCCTCAGTTCCAGGATATATTCTAGGAGAAACTCTTCAAGAGAATAAAAATAGCCACAGTAAGATTAGCTAACACTGTGACATTTACTTTGCATGCATCATCTTATTTAAGCCTCACAACTGTACAAAGCAAATGTAATTATTCTCCTTTTTTAGATGAGGATTTTGAAGGTCTGAGGGAGAATTTCACACACCTTATAAATGGTGGAGCTGAAATTAAAATCCAGAGCATGATGCCCTTGTAACCATTAGGTTTTAAAGGAATTTATCTTTCAAAAAGATTGTTTAAACTCTTAACAACAACAACAAAGTGCTACTGTTTAGTTTTGTAGCAAGGATCTGGATTAGTCATACTTCCAAAGTAGAGTTACAAATTAGGGCTACTCAGTGGAATATGCTCTGAGTTCTATTTCCAGTTCTGCCATTGATGATGATTTAGGTAAGGTATATGTGCACAAACATATACACACTATTTACTAGGGTTCTATTTTAACATTTTAAGCTTTCTGGTGTTCCTGATTTTGTTCATGATCTATTTGGAACATTCTTTCTTCCTTCTCTACTTAGTTAATGCCTTCTACTACCTCCAGGGTTGATCAGTGCCCTCATCGAACCCCCATAAGCAGTATTTCAAACTTTAGTCACTCTCTACTTAGCCCTCACCTCGTATTAGTTTTCTGTTACTAATAAAACAAATGACCACAAGCTCAGTAACTTAAAGCAATACAAATGCATTATCATGAAGTTCTGAGGTCAGAAGTCTGAAATGAGTCTTACTGGGCTAAAATCAAGGGGTCAACAGGGCTGTATTCCTTCAGGAGGCTGCAGGGAAGAACATGCTTCTTTGCCTTTTCCAACTTACAAGACCCACATTCCTTGGCTTGTAGCCGCTTCCTTCTTCTTCAAAGCTTACAGTATAGCATCTTCAACTTCTTCTGTGAATCTGACCCTCCTACCTCCCTCTTTTACTTATAAGGACCCTTGTGATAGCATTGAACCCACCTAGGTAATCCAAGATACTCTCTCCATCTTAAGGTCAGCTGATCAGTGACCATAATTCTATATGTTTCCCTAATTCCTGCTTTTGCCATGTGAAAGAACATGTTCTCAAATTTTGGGGGTTAGGACATAGATTTTTTTTCTTGAAGAGATATCTGTACTTCAATGTTTATAACAGTATTATTCACAATAGCCGACGTATGGAAACTAGGTGTTCATTAACAGATGAATGGGTAAAGACAATATGTCACACACACACACACACACACACACACAGGAATATTAGTCAACCTTAAAAAATTCCTTTTGGGGTAAAATCCATGTAGTCATAATATATTAATTTTTCATATATTTTCTAATTCAATCTGTTAAAACATTACTCATGAAGCATATTAGTCTGTAATTTTCTTCTTTTGTAAGGTCTGTGTCTGATTTAGGTATCAAGAGTAATGCTAGACTCATAAAATGAGTAGGGAAGTGCTCCTTCCTTTTCTGTTTCAAAAGAGTTTCATGGTGTTGATACAATTTCTTCTTGATATTTTTGGTAGCATTCACCAGTCAATTCATGTGACTTGAATTTTTAACGATGACTTTCATTTCTTTTTTAGATAAAGTACTATTCAGAGTAACTATTTTTGTTATTGTTGAACGACTATTAGTAGTTTGTGCTTTTTAAGGGATTTGATTAATTTGGTCTAATTTGTAGACGATTTTGCACAGGTACTTATGATATTCCCTTATTGCCCTTTACCGTGTGTGGGAGCTTACTGTTGCCCCCTTTCATTCCTGACACTGGTAATTTGTATCCTCTTCCTTCTTTTTCTGCTTGGTTTGGCTAGAAGTTTATCAAATGTGTATCAATACAATTTTAAAGGGTTATTTTCTCTCTTGTTTTGCTTACTGCTTAATTGATTTCTGCTTTTGTCTATTATTTCTTCCTTATTTTAGGATTAATTTGTTTTGTATTTTTTACTCTTCTTTTAAGGTGGGAGTTTAGACAGTTAATCTGGGAACTTTTCCAGTTCAAGCATCTAAGTCTACAAATTTCTCTAATAATGATTTTATCTGTATTATACATTTTGACATGTATTTTCATTTTTATTCTGTTCAAACCATTTTATAATTCCCCTTGTGATTCTTTTTCTCCATCATTGAGTTACATAGAATGTATTGTTCAATTTCTTAGTATTTGGGAGATTTCCTAGCTATATGTTACTGATTTCATCAATCCTGGTCAAGGAAATTTCTTTGTGTAATTTTAATTCTCTTTAACTTATTTGGACCTGGCAAACATTGGTGAATATTTTGTATAGATTTAAAAAGAATGTGTCTTCTGTGGTAATTGCTTTTTCATATTTTCACTTATTTTCTCTATGCATCATTTTACATAATTTCTGTTGCTTTTCCCTGTAGTTCACTAATATTTTCAGTGTTTAATCTGATGCTAATCCCATCCAGCATATTTTTAATTTCAGATACTGTATTTTTTTCATCTCTGCATGTTCATTTGAGGTTTTTAATAATTTATTACATTTGTCTCCTCATCATGTTTGTGTTTTCTTCTACATTGTTGAACAAATTGAATATATTTATAATAGACTTTTAAACATTCTTGTCTACTAATTCCATATGTCATTTCTAGGTCTTTTTAGTAAGTGATTTTCTCTTGATTATATGTCATATATTCCTGCTTCTTTGCATGCCTGGTAATTTTTTATTAGGTGCTTGACATAGTACATTTTATGTTTTTGGTTACTGGATTTTGTTGTGTTCTTTTAAATAGTTCCAGCCTTTGTTCTAACATGCAGTAAAGTTAATTGTAAACAACTGGATATTTTCAGCACTTACTTTTAGGATTTGTTAGGGCACTTGCAGAATAACCTGTGATGTAGGGCTAATTTAGTTCCACTAGTAAGACAATACCCTTCTGAGACTCTACTTAATGCCCTGTGTATTAATTACAAAGTCTTTCCACTTTGGTTTGTGGGAACACAAACTGTTTTCTGCCCTTTATGAGTTCTGGGAATTTAGTCTATTGCCTTCTGATACATCTTTCCTTTGCCTTGTGTCATTTCCTCTAATTCAGAGTTGCTCAGCCTTGGCACCAATGACGTTGTAGACAGGATTACTCTTTGTTGTGGGGGACGTCTGGTGTATTGTAGAATATTTAGGAGAATTCCTGGCCTCTTTCTACTATATGTCAGTATCAGGAGGCAAAAGTGCTCCTTGTTGAGGACCACTGCTCTGGCATGTTCACATACCGGTCCTTAGCCAGATACTATGTGCAGTTACCCAGAGTATTTTCTTCTGTGTGGCTCCCTCCTTTCCCATAATATGCCCTACAAATTCTTGCTGCTTTTATCTCCCTAAATTCATATCTCCAGCTCCTTAATGCAGTAATCTCTCTGGTGTCTATTTGACTTCTCTTTCTTTATGGAAAGCCACTGAAAAGCAGAGTGAAGCTTTTTTGCAGTCTTGTGTGACAAAAATTAGTTTAGGGCCATAAAGAATATACTAGGTGCCCAAGTGAAAAACCTGGAGGATGTGGGTAATAGTAAAATGAGGTTAAATACAGCTTTGATTTTTCATGGTTTCTAGTTGGATTAAGGTCAGTATCATACTATTAGCCTAACAGAGAGAAGGTAAACTCTTTCTGGAGGAAGACAATATCATCTGGAAAAGTCAGAAATTTCACACAGAAAGTTCAGTATTCAACCCAAAATTACTAGACACAGTGAAAGACAGATCACATGAATAAAATACAAGAGAAAAAAATAAAAATCTAGACATAGCCACACGTAATTCAGATGTTAAAGTTGGCTGACCTGGACTTTAAATAACTATTATTAATATATTGAAAAATACATGTAGTGTTGGAGACCAACACAAGATTGAAATTCATAAAAAAAAATGAAATGGAAATTGTTAAATTGAAAAATACAGTATCTGAAATTAGGAACCAATTTCATGGGTTTAAAAAGGAAGCTAGAACAGCAGCAGATAAATCAATAGTAAATATTCAAATTAAAGGACACAGACAAAGAGAATGGAAAATACCTCTAAACTCAGTGGGACTCAATGAAAATGTTTAAAAAATTGTCAGCTACGTGTAACTGGAGTTCCAGAAGGAGGTAAGAGACAGAATTGGGCGAAATCAGTATTCAAAGGTATGACTGAGAATTATCTCAAACTGGTGAAAGAAACTAAACTATGGATTAAAATAAGTCAAAATAGACTTTCAGGAAAGAATCATTAAAGATAAAAAGGATCATTATATGAAAGTAAAAGGTTCAAATTAGCACGTATTAAGCTTATACACACCTAATAATACAGACTCAAAATATGTAAAGTGAAAACTGGCAGAACTGTATGGGGAAAATTGATAAAATTCATCATCTTGTGGAAGATTTTAACATCTCTCTTACTAATTCATAGATTGACTAGACCAAATGATCAAAAAAAAAATATGAGAGTTGAACAATACAAATGAATAAGTGTATGAAATAACATAGAACACTGTACCCCAGAATTAAGGAATATACACTCTTCTCAAGCACACAGAAAATATTTAAGAAAATTGGCAACACACTAGGCCATAAAACAATTCTAAGCAATATTAAAAGTATTAGTAATATATGAACAACTTTGCCCATTATGTTAGATTGAATTTTAAAAAAAGACAACTGAAACCTTCCATATATTTGGGGATTTTTAAACACAATTTAAATAATATATTCAGAAGGACATCATGATTTAATTGAGAATATACTTAATACAAAATGATAACAAAAAAATGCCACATATGAAAACATGGGATGCAGCTGAAGTGGTATGTCAGAGAGAACCACAGCCTTTGAAAATTAGTATTATAAAATCAGAAAAGGGTGAATTTGCTTAATGAATTAGTCATCAAACTTTAGAATTTAGAAAAAGAATACAGTAAACCTGAGAGTATAAGGAGATAGAAATAATAAAAATAAGAGCAGATAGTAACTAA